GACTTTTTGTCATATAACAAACATATATTTTTTTGAAAATTACAATAGGTTAAATTAAAATATATAATGATTTTATATATATTTAATTCCTCATTATCATCTCTTTATAATTATACTCTTACCTGGTTAATAGTAAAAGTTATATTTATGTGTATAAAATGTTGTTTTACTTTAATCATATTTTTACCATTGGACAATCGATAATTTGTACCATCAAAATGTGCTTTGAATGCAAATAAAACTATATAGATACATAAAATGTAAAAAAAATTAACAAATATTACGTAAAATTAATAATTCAAAGAGAAAACTGTGAAAAAAAAAGCAAAATATTTCAGGTGAGATTCGATCTCGAGTCTGTATGAGTTAAAGGAACACATCTTACCGACTGGACCATAATACGAATTGTTTACAGGAAGAAAAATGACCTGATTTAAGCTAATTGGTTACCCCATCACCGTGACCTCCCTTGTAAGAGAAAAAAATTAAATACTCTCCGTCCAAGAGTTCAAAGAATAATAACTAAATTACTGAAGGTGTTCATGATAATATTATGGTATTATATTACCCTATTAAAATGTTCATAACTGATATTTAATGCCCTAATTATAAAAATTATTTTTAAAAATACTTACCAATAAACTTAGAATAATAAAATCTAGAATACATACAAACATTTTTTAATTTAAAAAATAAAAATAGATTGAATATCTGTTTTAGAAATATTGAAATAATTTTGAAACCTTTTTTTTTACATATATTTACATTCATTAAATTAAGTAATAATTTATCATTATTTTTAATATTGTATTATGTATAAAAACTTTAAAATATTTTTGTAAGCTTTGTGTAATATGTAATCTCTAAGTTACTTGTATTTTTATGTGTTTTATATTAAGGTAAACTTTATGTCAAATTTACTTTGTGGACAGCTTATAATGTTTTATCTTAATTTTTAATTTGTTTATAATACAAAATACTAATTCAACCATAACCGTGTAGTATAAGCTATTTGATAATATTAGATAACTTTATTTATTTTATTATTATAACATGTCTTAAACATTATTTAATATTTTAGTTTAGAAAAATGCGCAACTGATATGGTTGGTGTACTGAAATTGTTATTAAAATTTAATTGTCGTGAATTTGTGAATTTCTAAATAAATAATAATCATTTACATATTTTCTATGATAAATATCTTGTATATTTTAAAACAATACTACTAAACTCATAAAACAAGTATTCAACAGACAATTGAAATTCAAAAATGCTAAATACTCATCTGATATAAAAATCTTTTACCTAACAATTTAATGATCGAATTTTTTTAAATTTAAGAAATAAATTTAATCTTAAACGTGGATATTCAGTTATAACATTTTTGTACAGAGACGAATACAAAATATCGTGTGGTTCAAATAAATATAGTGCAAATATTTTTATACAACATAATTTAAAATTAAATTAATAGAAATGTAAAATCTTTAAGTACAAATTTAAAGTGTACAACATGTAGCATTCGTTGTAGCAGAATGCTTTTTATATTCAAATATTTTGAAAAAAAATGTAACGAAAATAAAGTAGTTTCCACAAAGTTTAGTAGACACATTAGGTATAAAATTCATTACATATGATTTCATTTTTAATTTTAGCTTCGATGCGAAGCTGAGAAGGTATTGGTTTTACTATGATGTGTTTTTTTTATATTTTTTTATTTTATTTATTTTTTTTTGTGTCTGTTACCACTTTTGCTCAGCTCTCACCGAACGGATTTCTTTCAACTATACGTCAAAAGATCACAGTAGATAAGAAATATATGTTTAAACACAATTTCACAATGTGAAATGTGTAAAGTGAAATGGTCATTAGAGGGCGGCATTTCAACCCAACGAAACCCCCCAAAAAATAACTATGATACAAATAATAAATATTTTTATTTATTTCCATGTACTCATAAACAGACAGAATAATAAACTAAATTGATAAATCAGTTTAATTACACAATTCTACAAGATGATAATATAAAGGTGATATTTTAAATATTGGGTATTTTAATAGTTTATGTATAAGTAATGATAATATATAATATAAAACCCCCAAAAAAATAACTACGATACAAAATAATAAATGTTTTTATTTATTTCCACGTACTCATAAATAAGTAGTTAATGTCAAATTTGAAAATTCAAAGGGGCATTAGATCGACGTTAATGAAGACTGTAGCGGCGGAAGTGGCAACGATGGTGGTGGCGACGGCGACATTTTAACCCAACAAAACCATATTTATTTACAAATAAATGTGAAAGTATAGACGAGATTAAGCGTAACATCGACGTTACGTCTAATCTCGTCTATTTAAAATTTAGAGTTTAATAATGATATAGTTATCAAGTTATTTTATAGTGCAATATTATTTGCAACTACAATTTCTGATATTGATTCAAAATTCTATTCATTAGTTCAGTAACACTTCAATGTTCATAAAATAGATATTTTTTCGTTATCGATTAAATGTTATTGAGCCATTCTAGTACAGTAGAACTCCAATTATCCGAACTCCGACCATCCGAATCGCCGATTATCCGAATCACTTTCAGAAAAAATCAGAAAAAAATTTGTCCAAAGTCCGCGGCGTCAGTGTAGGCACAACACGTGGTAAGAGTTCCCACTCCAGTTCCGGCGCATTGCAGTCACCTGTCATTGTTTGTTTTGATTAGTCAGTGTGCTAAATTGACCTTGCTCGAGAACGCTACTCTTTCGCTACGGCTTACTTTTGTTTGTGCGTGTACTGTATTGTTTTTTACCATGGCTTCGAAAAGAAAACGTGTTGTGCTATCGTTAGCGGACAAACTGAAAATTATAGAGCAACTCGATAAAGGTGTAACGGGTAAGAAGTTGTCTGAGATTTATGGTGTTGGACAAGCAACAATTTGTGACATTAAAAACAGTAAGTCAACACTTTTAAACTTTGTTTCGGTGCTTGAAAATGAAGATGGAAGTTCCTCCAGGAAAACAATGAAGACAGCAACCAACAAAAATTTGGAAGATGCCGTGTTTAAATGGTTTTTGCAGCAACGTTCTATGGGAAATCCGATTTCAGGTCCAATCCTTTGTGAAAAAGCCAAAATCTTAGCAGAAAAGCTTGGTTATTCCTCTTTTAAGGCTAGTAACGGCTGGCTAAGGAACTTTAAATTCAGGCATGGTGTACGCGAGTTAGATTTGGCTGGTGAGAAGCTTTCAGCAGACTCTGCAACTGCTGAAAATTTTATTGAAAAATTTAAAACTGCAGCAGAATCCTATGATCCGGAGTTTGTTTATAATGCCGATGAAACTGGCCTTGTTTGGAAAGCATTACCAAAAACCACTTTGGCTTCTAAAAGGGAATCTAGTGCCCCTGGACATAAGGTCAGTAAAGAACGTGTTACAGTGCTTAACTGTGCCAACTCCGCTGGAAATCATAAACTACCACTTCTTTTGATAGGAAAATCAAAAAATCCAAGAGCATTTAAAAACGTAAAAAAACTTCCACTCTTCTACAAAAGTCAACCCAAGGCCTGGATGACTGCAGCTTTGTTTACCGAATGGTATGATGAAGTGTTTATTTCTGAAGTGAAAAAGCACCAAAAATCGGTGAAAAAAGAAGGCAGTAAGGTGCTTTTAATTGTTGATAACGCACCCACTCATCCTATAGCAGATCTGTTGGAAAGAGAGAATGGGCAGTTTAAAACGACGTTTTTGCCTCCCAATGTTACAAGTTTGCTGCAACCCATGGACCAGTCTGTTATTGAAACAATGAAGCGCCATTATAGAAGGCAACTACTGAGAAAACTGCTGATCGAAGGTACTGAAGATGAAGAATTGGTTTTGGCAAATCATAGCAAAATAAATTTAAAGGACTGCTGTTACATGGTAGCGGAAGCTTGGAGTTTGGTTACGGCAGTGACGCTAAGACGTGCGTGGAATAAACTGAAAGGCCTACCGTCTGAGAAGAACAAAGAAGAAAATGGAGAGGATGAAGATGATGAAGATGCGTTGCCACTAGAGGAAATAAGAAAAATGATTGTAAAAATTCCTGGTTGTACAGAAGTAAGTGCTGAAGATGTAGGAGAGTGGATGGCTTGTGACACGTCTGACCCTGGTTTTCAAATTCTCAATGACGATGAAATTGTTGAAAGTGTGAGAGAAGATGTTGAAGTGGAAGTGGAAGAAGAACTTTCGCTTGATGTTGAAGTAGACGCTGGACCATCAGCTAGTGAAGCATTTGCCGGCCTCGAGACTGCTTTGAAGTGGATGGAGCGTCAGCCCGAGTGTGACCACTTGCAACTGCTCACCGTCAAGCGAATGCGTGACCTGGCTGCCCGAAAACGGATGAAGACCGCAAAACAGCTTACATTGACGGAGATGTTTAAAAAACAATGATTTTTATTTCTAAACTTGTAAGTACATTTTATTTATATTTAAAACATGTGAAAATATCATGTTTCTTTCATTTAATTCAATAAAAAAATAGTGCAATATCAAAACGTAGCGTTTTTTCTCTCCAATGGCAATTTTTTAAAAAAAAAACTCCGATTATCCGAATATTTGATTATCCGAATGGGTCCCGGTCCCCATTAATTCGGATAATTGGAGTTCTACTGTATTTACTTTAAGTAATTAAACATTCTTGCGAACAGTCATTTGCGCTAATGAGTAATCTCTAATGTATTTTTTAAAATTGATTCCTAAATGACTATGCTTAACTTGGTCGGTGATTAGTCTAGGTGGTTGGAGTAAGAAAATTTACAGGTAAGCATTACCTGTTAAGTCATTTTACATTTTGTAAAAGCCTCACTTGTGTTTCTTGTGTCGTAGAACTCCTCTCACTATCAGCCATACTTGAATTATTCTACAAGTTTTTAAATCTACAGTTTAATTTTTTTTTTTTTTTTTTTTTTTTTTGTATTTTACAAAAATCTGTAAAAATGCATCAATGTAATATTTGCAATAAATTATTTGCAACTATCAGCAGTCACAACCTGCATATGAAAATTCATAGCGGTTTACAGTTTAGTTGTGATGTATGTTCAAAGACTTTTAATAGAAAAAGCACTTTAATAAGACATCAACTGTTACATAGTAAGTAAAATTTTTTTCAAAATAATTTTAAACTTAAAAATTTATTTTAGCAATATTTTATGTAAATATAATTATATTTAATAGACAACCCTAAGCCATTACAATTAAATGAACGAAATGTTATAAAACCTACAATTATTGAACCGATGAAAAGCGTTACAATACCTTATTGGGAACCTTCGACTTCTGCACATGTAAATAAAGGTAAGAAAAATTTACGTATTATTTAACGTGCTAAATATTATAACTCTCCTAAACGTCGTAATTGATTATTTTAGATTCTATGCGAAGCTGAGAAGGTATTAATTTTACTATGATGTGTTTTTTTATTTATTTTTATTTTTTTGTGTCTGTATACGCTCAATCTCAGCTCTCACTGAACCGATTTAAATGAATAATATGTCACATGATCACAAATCGTATCTAGTTGAAGACATTACCCTCAGAAATTGAAAAAAATTCCCTCGTTCCCCGTAAATGGGGGAAATCCCCCAAAAAATTACAAATTTAAAAATCGCTAATTTTCGACATTTTTTCATTTTTTTTTTACTTAAAATTGCTATAACTTTTTTAAAAATGACCGAATCAATATAATTTTTTTTTTTATAGATACCTTAGATATTTATCTATTATTTTCTATATTTTTGTGAACATTTGACCCTTTACAAGCCAACAGCGGTTACCTAGAGATAGGTTTAAATGGAGCGAAAAGAATTTAAGTGTTCCAACAGTCTTAAAACTCCTAGAAAAAACATCGGATGATTCAAGTACAGGATTTATATTGGAAGTTGATGTTTCATATCCAACTCATTTTCATGATAATCATAATGATTTACCATATTTACCTGCTAAAAAAATACCAATAGGCTCGAAATTTCCCAAACTTTTGGCCACATTGGATAATAAAAAAAATATATAGTACACTACAATTCTTTAAAGCAAGCGTTACAGGCTGGATTGGTTTTAGAAAAAGTGCACCGTATGATTGAATTTAATCAATCACCTTGGCTCGCAAGTTACATTTTTTTGAATACAAGGATGAGATTGATTGCGAAAAATACTTTTGAAAAAGATTTTTACAAACTTATGAACAATTCAGTGTTTGGTACGTATAATGATCATTTATATTTTTACTATTTATTTACTTAATGATTATTTTTTGTAATTAAATATACATAATGTTTTAGGTAAAACGATGGAGAACGTTCGCCTAAGATTAAAAATGGAGCTTATGAGCAGCGAGGCAAGGTACAGAAAACTCGTTAATTTACCCAACCATAAAGGCACAACCATATATGGTGACAACCTGTGTGCTGTACATTTGCATAAAGATGATTTAGTTTTTGATAAACCCATGTACATAGGATTCGCCGTTTTAGACATATCCAAAACTCTAATGTACGATTTTCACTACGGCACCATGAAAGCATTATATGGAGAAAACATTGAACTCCTATACATGGACACGGGTAATATTATTAATATTATAATCATTTTATTTTTTTATTTGCGTAATTAATTCTTATATTTTAGATTCGTTGATATACTTGGTGAAAACAAAAAAATTCTATGAGAACATGGAACGCAATCAAGGTTTTTTTGAAAAACTTGATACTTCAAACTATCATGTTAACCATCCATGTTACCGCACAGAGCGTTGCAAGATTCCCGGCACTTTTACTGACGAGACCGGCGGAGAGTTTATTTCAGCGCATGTTGCGCTAAGATCTAAAGCATATGGTTTTATTCAAAATATTAAAGAGATTATCAAAGCCAAAGGAGTGGCCTATCATGCCGTAAAAATCATATAATATTTGAAAATTATAAGGAGTGCCTTTTTCAAGGAATAATAGATTTACCCGAAGATTATACTCCTTATAGAGAAATGCGATCCTTTAAATCGTACAAACATCAAATTAAGTCTATTGGTAGCACAAAGCAAGCGTTAAATAGGCACGACGATAAGAGGGTTGTGTTAAAGAATCAGATTTATACCTTAGCACATGGGCACTACAAAATTTAGTGAGTTTTTACAACTTTTATTAGCACTGCATATTAATATATATACATGCATATTAATTTACAAATTTAATTTTAGGGGTTTGAGACAGCAAGGCGGATTGGCAAACTTTTGTATTTAATCATACTTTGTATCTATGTAAAATATTTGTATTATAGACCAATTGTACATATCTGTTCTTTACTTGTAACTGAATGTTAAAAATAGTTCATTTATTTAGAGTTTGCTCTAAAATATATAATTTATATTTAAATCATTACTGTTTTATGTAAATAAACAACTGCTACGTTATGTAGTTATATTTTATTTTTAAACTTAAACAATTAAAGCATAATACATTGAATATTTCAAATTCCTATAAATTTAATACATATTAAGAGTTATTTATATACCAATTTCTTAACATAAACATTTTATAAAAACTACAATAAGTTGGATTCAAATTCATATGAAATAAACATGATGGATAAGAAGTATTTGTTGACAGTTGTGTTATACGAGGGCAGCCAATATCTTCCATGTTAATGACATTTACGTGTGGCATATACTGTTGTAAAATGTCTCTTTTTTGTAATCCTTTTACAAATATCTCTGTAAATTTTAACGATTTTAAAATTCTTGGTAGTTCTTCAATTTCTACGTCTCCCTACTGAGGTTGCATTGAATGTCTGTGTTTATTCAACCACTTGTTAACATTTCGACTTTTTTGGAGTTGCGTGTTTAAATATCCAGTGTTGAGCAGCATAAGTATTATGTATTTGTTCATTTACTTTTTCAATTATTTTTCGATAATTACTAAGCGTTTTGTAGCGAGGTGTAATATATAGAAGTAATAAACACTTTTACGATTTAATAACAACTATACTATATTACAACGAACTAACAAATAACAGCGAGAGACGAACTGTATTACAACGAACTAATAAATAACAGCGAGAGACGAAGCGCGTGTAAGACAGAATGCGTAAGTGATTGACTGATCGACTGACTGACTGGAGCGACGATCTTGCCCTTAAATAGTCAGAGGAATCTTCTAGAGGCGGCGTCGGAACTCTCTAGACATTCGACCGCCACACGCTTATGTAGAGCGACGAATCTTCTAGAGGCGGCGGCGGCCGGACATTCTAGAATATTCGACCGCCACAGTTTCAATAATTTTTATAATATCTGTTTCTAATTTAGCTAATGTAGACACTAGTTTGCATATTCTTTTACTTTCTAATGATGAACCAAATAAATCCATTACTGTTAACGTTTACGAATGAACTAAGAATATTTTATTAGTTTTTGCGGATTTTATTCTTCTCGGATAACTTTTTATATTTTAAAAAGTAATAACACATAGTTTAATTAAAGATAGGTAGAGGGGATATGTCACCTTAAGGTTAAATAAATATACATATTTAAATATATATTGAGACTTTATTATATGGAGTAAAAAATACAATTAATAGTGCATATTATAAATTTTTACATTAATATCTTACAATAATATTAAAATTATTTATTTTTCAAGCTCATTTTTATTCATCCATGAATCATGTTTTGAAAGAAAACCCATCCAACGAACCAATACTTTATCTCCTTTACGTCGTACAATTTTTTCAATCAGATAATTATGCGGATACTCGGTTTTTTGTAATTCTTGTTCATAAAAACACCCTCTAATCATATTTTTTTCAAAGTCTTCGAGAACATAGGTTATTGGTATAGTGTTGCATACCTTTGCTATAGTAAATATTTCAAAAGACCAATTACTCAAATAGCCTTTTTCAAATACGACCTTGTTCGAACTAACTCTTACATAATCACCTCTGCGAAATTTAATTTTTTGTTTCGTTTTATGTACAGTATTGTGTATAACCACTACCAAATGATTGTTATCGGCATACGTAGGAGTCGTCTTTATTGTTCTATGCACGCTATTGTTGTACTCGTGCATAACTTTGTTTAATATAGATATCCAATTGTGTGATCCTTGAGCGGTAAACTCTCTACATAATTGATGGTTCGAATTAATCGCTCACAAATTGACGCTTTTAATGTGCTATACGTTGAGTAATGTTTTATGTTGTATTTTTTCATAAGATTTGAAAATTTTGAGTTATAGAATTCTTTACCCAAATAGCTCTTTACGTGAACGATATTACGTTTTGCAAGTATAGGTTCTATTGCTTTCACTATATTAGCACCTGATTTTAGGGGTACTGCCCATGAATATTTTGTAAAACAATCAATTACAAACAAAATATATTTGTAGCCTTTATTCTGTCTATGATATGGTATAAATTCAGCTAAATCGATCTGAAATAAATCATCACGACTTTTAAGTACAACACTACGTCTACCGTAATGTATGCGTCTAGGTCTATGCAGTTCTTCCGCAATTTGTCTTTTAAACATTTGGTATTTTTTTTAATTATGCCCGCCTCGTATAATTCTTTATAAATTGATATAATTTCATTACCATGTGCATTATTGCCTGCTGTCTGCGAAGCCAATAGTAATCTAAGACGGTCGCAGAGCTCGTCTGCGTTATTCCAATATTTATAGTTATTCGATGTATTCAATGACAACTCAAGACCTCTGCCCTCGACAAACAATTTACTTATAACTTCTTTATACTTGTAGCCATTTGTTTTCTTAATTTTTAATTTATTCGTTGTTAAGTGCGCAGAAGTATGAACTAGAATGTCTCTATAGACATCCAAGTCATTTTTACCGTATGCGTTAGGCCGTTTTGAAAATATTAACTGTATTAGACCGGGGGTTAATTGATATTTATTATTTTCTATGATCAGCTGAGCTGTTTTATAATTAAACTGAACAATTTTATCACCAAATTTCATTATATCCCCGTGTTTTTTCGGTGCATACGCTTTGTCCCCGTCATGATAAACTAGCCATGCCTCAACCGAGTCCATCATAGAAAATATTTGGTTTTCAGAATATCCACTAGAATTAGTGTCTTCAACATTATAGCTTTGATTATGCAGCTCAGTTACTATAGAATTATTTTCATCATTTTTATAATTGTTACCATCATGGTTTTGTTCATATTTTAAATACTCGTTATTATTATCAAATTTATTAGTAAAATTTGAAATATGCGATGTTTTCTCTTTTTGAAGTGTTGTTAACTCATTTAAAGGTTCAATAATGGGTTTTAATGTACGTTTCATGTAAACCTCATTAGCATCATCATCGTTTTGCAATGATTGGAATTTTCGTTTAATTTTTTGCTTGGCCTCGGCTAATTGTCTCAATATTTCGTTATTAGATTCTCCGTCCATTGTTAATCGATTACTGACAAAATCCCGTTATTACACGACATTATATTATTGCGAAAGTATCGAAACATTTACGATACCTGCCTTCATTTCGCAAATGATCTTTACTAATTACTACAAAACTAAATTTACTATCGTTCCAACATGAATGACAAAATTCACAAAACTGGTTAAGTGACATGTCCCCTGAACAATTATTAAAATGTATATGTCGTATATTGGTTTCGTCTTGTTTGAATAAAATAAGCATATTAGCGTTATCCCGTATCAATTGTTTATCTACATAGCTAAACGATTGTGTTAAATAAAATATGTCAATGTTATTATGTCTGCCTCGAGTAAAATAGGTTCTTATAATTTCTTGAGATTCGGTTATTANATTCTTACAATTTCTTGAGATTCGGTTATTACGTCGTCGAATATAAAAACTGAATTTGGCAATGCGTCCTCAGGGCTAATTACAGTGTCGTTTTCATGAAACATGAATATTTTCATTCCTGGTATACTTTCTATAATATCCTTAAGCATTTGATATTTTGACTGGTCTAGAGTTTTTGAATATATGTAAATATTTTTGAATTTTATGCCGTTTTCAGCGACTAGTAAAGAACATGAAACATTAGTTTTACCACAGCCCGACGGTCCTGCAATAATCGCTCTAATAGAGTTTGGTAATAAAGTGTCGTGTCGGGAAGGTTTATTGTCATTATTTTCAGTATCTGCGTTTATCACGGGGAGTTTAATACTTTGCCGTATAAACTTCATGTTTTCCACTATAAATAGTTTATCAGAACATTAAACTGATCAAATGATGTCTCGTCATGGTCGCAACAAGTCTAAAAGTGGTGTCGGTCTATTCAATACGCACTTAGATAAATTGCCTATAGAATTACACCTTAAAGGTTATAATTAACGTTAAAAGAACGTTTAGTAAGAGGTGACGTGGGGGTAAACAAACTCGACGAACTCTGCAAATCTCATGACATTTTTTACGATAAACATCATTCGACTGCAGAAAGACATAGAGCAGACGAGGTATTAGAACACGGGGCTTGGGACATTGTTAAATCAAAGGACTCTGGATTTAAAGAACGGGCTGCAGCATACCTAGTTACCAACGCCATGAAAGCAAAACGTAAAATCGGAATGGGATGTGGTTTTAAAACTATAGTTTCCAAAGCGAAAAAGGCTATTGAGAAACATAAAAAGACAGTCGGCAAAGATATTACAAAATTAATAAAAATTACGTTAACCGCAGCTCGCAAAAAAACTCGTCGTGGTAGCATTTCCCCCACACCATGTGTAATACCAGTGCCGAAATCCGGTGGAGCGCTTCCTCTTATTCCTATTTTTGCCGCTTTATCTGCGTTAGGATCTCTAACCGGCGAGGCGGGTAGTATTATACGTAAAATCATGGACTCGAGAGAAGCAAGTCATAAAAAATCTACAGTAAAACTCGGCAAAGGTTTATACCTTAAAACTTATAAGAACGGTGCCGGTTTATTTTTATCACCGCCTAAGACAAAAAACTAATATCGAATTTGCCAAAGATTGCTCTATATGACTATCAAATTATAAAATATGCAAATTTATTGAAAATACCTCATTTTAGAGGGGTCTTTAGCAGAGACACATTGCCGGTACGTCCTTTAAAAAACGAGAGTGCAGTTATTAATTTAAGCAAACAAAACGAGCCAGGTACTCATTGGACGTGCTATAGAAAAAATAACAATACAGTACATTATTTCGATAGTTACGGTGATTTGGCTCCACCGCTAGAGTTACAGAAATATTNTAGTACATTTTTTCGATAGGTACGGTGATTTGCCTCCACCGCTAGAGTTACAGAAATATTTTAACGGGTGTACTGTAAATTACAACTATTTACGGTATCAGGCTGATAGATCGGTAAACTGCGGTCATTTGTGCCTAAAATTTCTAAGTCAAAAATTATGAAATCGGCTACAATAATGTTGAGCGGTAATTCGTCACAATTGAGTTGTAGTTTTTACCCACCTTTGGAATTTGAAGAGGGTGCCGAAATTTGTCTTTTGAGTTTGTATACTAATAACTCAATACCTAATATTACAACTGGCTGTAATAAAATCGGAGTTCAAGACTCTGAGGGTGTAACAACACAAATTACAATACCGACGGGATCATACGAATTGGCGCAGTTAGAAGCCGTATTAAAAAAACTGTTGGAACCATACGTTCAATCGTTTTCTTTAGAACCTGACAAAGTTACATTCAAAAGTGCTCTGACGTGTAGTAATGCCATTGTTTTACGGTAACCGATAATATCGCGCGGTTATTAGGTTTTAATGAACAAGTTTATGGACCAAATGTACATCATGTTTCAACAAACATTGTTGATATTTTACAAGTTAAAACTATATATGTCGAGTGTAATATAGCAACCGGTTCATATGATAATGGAGAATCAAGCAAAGCGATCCATGCATTTTTTCCTTCTGTCCCAGCAGGATACAAAATTATAGAATTACCTAAATCATTAGTTTATTATCCGCTAAACACAACCACCGTATACAACGCTGAAGTTACATTACGGTCTCAATCTGGTAAAATAGTTGATTTGAGAGGGGAAACTTTAACTCTCCGCCTTCACATTCGTACATAGAACCATGGCTCTTAAGTTTAATAATAATATATATTCAAGTATTTGTCGACCAATACGTAGTTCACAGTCACCCAGAGCAGAAACAACATTATATTTACCTAAAAAGAAAGCCGTGAGAAAATCGCCGCTAAAAGAAAAAACGAATAAGTCCGTTAGCAAACGTAATTTATCGTTTTTAAAATCGTTAAACGTTCTTTGAAATTATGGACGATTTATGCTTAGACGTGACGGAAAGTTATGTCGACCAGTGTAAAATAATTAGTCAATAGGTACAATCATTTTTACCGTATAGCTCCACTGCGCTAGGTAAAAATGATGAAATACGATTTGAAATTCGCAACATGGACAGTTACACTTTACCAAGTGCCAGTTATTTGTACTTGGAAGGTGAAGTGAAAAAACCTGATGGTATGAAGTCCAGTCCTAGATTTATTAACAACGGACTCGCATATTTATTTTCTGAAATACGTTATGAAATAAACGGTACTCAAATACAAAAAGTACGCAACCCGGGCATTACATCTACTTTGAAAAGCTATTGCTCATATAGCCCCGCTGATATTAACGAACTACACACTGCGGCATGGGACATTACTACTGAAGACAATAAAGACTTTTTCGACTGTACATATTTTTCTGGGATTATACCGCTATCGCATATACTAGGGTTTGCCGAAGATTATAAAAAAATACTCTTAAACTGTACCCAATCATTAATATGTACGAGGAGTTCATCAGACATTAACGTAATCAAATTGTTCAATGTGAACGAGTCCTTTGAAAAACTTAAATACAGGACGGGAACTTGTACGGAAACTTCTGATGTTAATGAGATTGTCAAGCTATTAGATACGAGTACCACAGCAAAAGAAAAACTATCTACAGTATCAATTAAACTAACAAAAGTTGTATGGAATATGCCAATCGTCAAAGTGACCGAAAAGGAACAATTAAAATTACTTAGAGTTTTAGATAGTAAAAAGCCTATACATTGCGCCCATAGAAATTGGGAACTGTGTGAATATCCGTTTGTACCACAAAACAAATCGTTTTCATGGACCGTTAAAACATATAATCATTTTCAAAAGCCCCGTTATGTTATAGTAGGGTTTCAAACAGACCGTAAAAATAGTGAAAGTAAATCAATGTCTGAATTCGATCACTGTAATTTAACAAATCTTAAAGTTCATTTAAATTCAGAAGTTTACCCGTACAACGATTTAAGATGTAACTTTGACTGTAAACTATTTAGTATTTTATTTTCTTACTATGTTAATTTTCAAAACAGTTATTATGATAGACCTTGGTGTTCACCTTTAGTAAATAAGAAACAATTTATTAATTTAATACCTATTGCCGTAATCGACATGTCAAAGCAGAACGATACAATTATAGTCTCGTCTTTTGACCTACGTATTGAAATTGAAGCATCAGCCGCGTTCCCTGGTAATACAACTGCATATGCTCTAGTAATTTCAGACAATGTATTTACATATACACCTTTTGACGGAACTGTCCGTATATTTTAAATTAAATTTTTACACGTTTATGTAAACATTTATTATTAACCTTGTAATTATTATTATTATGAAATAAATATATTATATACAAATAACAACACTGTGTTTTTAAATTTAGATTATAAGTTTATTATAAGAAACTAGTACAATATATAAAGTTATTGTTCATAAATTATTAATGTATGTTAATTTTTCTGACGTGATTGGGTTTCGACCATTGTGAAGCCCATGGACTATAACTATTTTCTTGGGTAAACACTGTTGTATTGAAAAATCCCGGACCGTCATTTTCGTCATACATTTCTTCTTTTTCCTAAAACAAATTATAAATTTAATAACAATAAAGATAATGACAATTTATGTTCATTAAACTCACATTAATTTGAAACGTACCCTCGGACCATGACTTGGCCCAACGATCAACTATTACATTGTACGCTAAATTCTTCAGCTCGCTTATGTAATTACTGTCACCTTTAGTAATAGTATCGCATATTTCTATGTCGTTCAAACTTCTTATAAAATTAACCATTTCATCATTGTTTGATTGTTGAATTTTAGGGCCCGACCATTTACCGTCGGCGTATTGTATAATGCGGTCTATTTGATGGCTTAATAGTAAACGTGTTTTTATTTTTCTTGATATTGCACTGTTAATAGTACACTGTAAGTCCATAAGTCTATTAATGTTTTCGTTATTCAATAACACTCGACACCCATCGACCATCCTGTATTCTAATACTAAATGCATGGTATCACGGTACAATACTTTGGTTATATTAAAATCGACATTTTGGTATAACACAATGTTCTCTCCTTTTACTGGAGGTGATTGTAGAAAT